CCACCTGATGCGAAGAGCTGACTCATTTGAAAAGACCCTGAAGCTGGGAAAGATTGAAGGCAGGAGGAGAAGGGGATGACAGAGGATGAGATGGTTGGATGGCATCACCAACTCAATGGACATGAGTTTGAGCAAGCTCCGGGAGTTGGTGATGGACAGGGAGGCCTGGTGTGCTGCAGTCTATGGGGTCGTAAAGAGTTGGAATCGACTGAGTGACTGAACTCATCTGATGAGAATAAAAAGTAATTATTTGCCAGCTGCCCTGTAAGGGGATCCTGGATCCTGGTAACTTTTCTTTATGGAGTGAGGAAAGTGGGGATGTTGGACATGGTAACTAGTATAAGTGTTCAAAGTTGAGAACTGTAATAGAGCACATTGCTCTGTATAACTTTGGGAGGGATATTTAGAAGCCATTTGGGAATATTCAGAAGCTGAAAAGAAACCAGACAATGAAGCTGAAGAGAGATGGAGGGGAAATGGGGAGAAAGAGAGTTCCTGGTGAGTAAAATAGGAGAATTAGGATTAGATGGAGACTTGATGAGTGTACTCCATCCACCGATATGGTCTTACATAAATTCTACATTACCCATTAATGTTTTTGGTGCAGGTAGGTTATCTGGAGGAGAGTGCAAAGGGGTTCAGCTTTCTACTTAGCATTGAGCACTGGCCTGTGAGTTAAAATACCAGGAACCTGGGTTGCGTTTTATAGGCCAAAAACGTACTGGTAATGTTGCATTAGGTCTGATTTTAAGCTTAAATTGGTGGGTGAAATTTACGCTTACTTGCATAGCCTCAAATTGTCTACCAGAATATTACTTTAGTGATTTTAACGTATTTCCACATATTCTTTGATATTCTCCTGCTGGGAAGTGGAGCTTAACTCTTCTCCCTTTGATTGTGGGCTGGACTTAATGACTTGCCTCTAACAGAGTCTGAAAAGGTAAGAATACTAACTTTATGGTGGGGAGATTTGGCAGCCACCACCCTGCCTTAAGTGATCAAGCTTAACCTCGCTAGTGCTGAGTCATGTTATCATGTCCCCTACAGCGTGATGCTCTGAGAAGGGCACTTACCTCTTGGATATTCTGTTCCCATATTTGTGAGCTCTGTCTCATTATGAGAAGACATCAGAAAAACCCATATTGAAGGATGTTCTATGAAGTATCTGTCTTGAAGATACCTGAAGTGTTTTCTCTTCGAAAATATTGAAATCGTAAAAGCAAGAAAAGATTGAAAAACTTCCCCAGATCAGAGGAGACTAAAGAGATAAGATGCTCTGAAGTGTCTTGGATAAAGATCATATGATAAGTTGAATAATGCCTGTGGTTTAATGGTTTTGTAACAGTGTTGACATTTTTGTTTTGATAAACCTACCACCATTATGTAAGATGTTAATTTTAGGGAAAGCTAGGTGAAAGATATATGGGAATTCTAAGCTGTCTTTAAAATTGTGAAATCTGAATTATCTGATAAATCTGAATTATCAAAAATAAAACCGTTCAGAGGATTTTTTCCCTAAAGAAAAGTCTAAAATGATGTCTTGGGAAATTAGGAAAGGGTTATTAACTCCTTGACATAAGCCCCCAAATAAATATTTATTTTCCAATATCACTACGTCATAATAATACTGTTTTTTTCAGAGAGAAAGACTGCTTGGTGTTTGAGAAAATGTGGTGGTTAAGAAAGATGGGAGAAATCTGGGAAACTTTCATGTAGGTGATGAGCAGAGTTGGCCAATTATAAACTGCAGTTGTTATTCAGGAATTATAAAGAGATGTGAGATGTTTATTCATCCATTAAATAACATATGTTTACCACCTAAAATGTGCCAAGAATTGTGTGAGAGTTGAAATGTGATCGTGACAGTTAGGGTCCCTGGTCTTCTAAAGCTTATAGCATAGTGACAACAAACCTTTTTCAGTTCGGTTTGGAAATGTAAGCTTCTAGACAAGGAATATATGAATGCCTATATGTAAGTTAAAATGAGCATATATATGAATTAAGCTTTTTTAAAAAATTAAGTTATGTAAACACTTGGAAAATGTGAATATGTCTTGTTTGTTTGTTTCTGATGTAAAATGTGATAGGATTTTTAAATTGTAAGTTTTGCATGAGCAAAGGACAGAAATGGATTAATTCCAGTTAGTAAAATGGAAAAATTTCCCTGGAGAATTTTTGGAGTTTGAGTTCTTAAGTAAGTTAAATTCCTTAGAGTGGCAGCATGAAGTTAAGCCAGGTTTTAAAGGTGCCTCCTCCTGTTTTCAGTAAGCAGAGGTGGAAACAATTTGAAACATGAAGATGTACAAAAGCTTATTGGAAGGACCTTAGCAGCTACTGGCTGAAGGTTGCAGAGTCTTCCAAGGTGGATTTTGAATTCAGCTTTGGAAGTGAATGACTCTTTTTTTGGGACAAGCTCATCTTTCTGAAATTTTTTTATGGTCTTAAGTGATGCCACCTGGCTTGGGTGGACCTTCCGTGCATACCCATTTGAAATGGCTTCTACTTAGGAGTTTGAATCCAGAAGGGGAGGCTGGGGAGCCTGACTGCTTATAATTTGATCAAACGTATCAACTGCCTGAGGAAGTCTTCCTCATAGTCTCCTGCCTGTGGAAACGCCCAGGCTGGCTTTTAGTTCAATGAATAAGTATTGAAGAGATAACCAACTAAGTTTAACTCATTAAAGAAAAAAAAGGTGAGGGGTGGCTAGGTTGGAATGATGATGTTGGGGAATAAGATAGTTCAAATATTATTAAATGAATTCATGAAAAATACAGCAATAATTTATATCTTTTTTTCTTCATATTTCTCCCTCCTTCCCTTGCCCTCTTTCTCTCTCTCACATGCGCACACACACGTTAGGTGGAGTTAGACTGAGGAAGTAAGGAAAGAATAGAGATGCAGTAATTCTCAAATTTCTAGGATAATTTTTTTGAGGAAAAATTTCTGAACACATCCCACCAGCTAAAAACGAATAGGTTATACGTACATAAGTAAGTATTATTACAAATTTTACTTACCTTAAAATGAAGAATATCAAACATCAAAATCACTTGATAGCTTCCTGAAAAATGTTATGGTTTGTAATACTTTATCAATTGTTAGCAGTCTTGTAATCATAATTGTTGATGTTTAGTCACTATGTCACGTCCTACTCTTTTGTGACCCCGTGGACTGCAGCCCACCAGGCTCCTCTGTCCATAGGATTTCCCAGGCAAGAACAACTGGACTGGGTTGCTACTTCCTTCTCCAGGGGAATCTTCCTGACCCAAGGATCGAACCCATGTCTCCTGCATCTGCTGCATTGGCAGGTGGATTCTCTACCTCTGAGCCACCTGGGAAGTCCCCTTTTAATGCTTTACAAGTGTCAAATTATTTAGTCTTCATATTCACTCTGTGCTTAATACTGTTAGTCCAACGTGCAATACCAATGCAATACCATTCAGGGTTAAGAGGCAGATAGCCCGAGTCTGCTTCCTGTCTCTGTCATGAACTAGATGAATGACCTTGAGCAAAGTATTCAATCCTTTGTAACTCCAGCTTCCCTCTTAATAAAATGGCCTTAATGATAACTCATGGAATTTTCATAAAAATTAAATGAAAATTTTTAGCGTATAGAATATATTAATATTTACTTTATGTAAGAAGAAGAAGAATGCCTGGACACAGCACTCTAAAAGTGTTATTATATTATTTATACTCAAACCAAAATTACTCTGCCTTTTTGGGCTTCCCTGGTGGCTCAGTGGTAAAAATTCCACCTGCCAGTGCAGGAGATCGAGGTTCGATCCCTGGGTCGGGAAGATCCCCTGGAGAAGGAAATGGCAACCCACTCCAGTATTCTTGCTTAGAAAATCTCATGGACAGAGGAGCCTGGCAGGCTACAGTCCATGGGGTTGCAAAAGAGTCAGACATAACTTAGCAACTAAACAACTCTGCCTTTTTCCTTAATAGTTTTTATTAGTGAGAGTAGGTGCTGTGCAGAGGGAGCAGTAATCTCATGGATAGGGGTCCATTGTTATTTTGTATACTCATGTATATGTGCTTTGGGGATATTTGTTGTATATGTGAGTGAATGAAATTGAAATGTGATTGATTATATTTGTGTCAAAACAACAGTTTTAACATGTTTTGCTGTTTGCCTAAAAATAAGTTTTCTTTTGAGCATCATAGAGCTTGTTGGAAGAGAGATCTGGAAATTTGGCTTTTCTCAATCTTGATGGTCTCCACACATGTACCTTTTTAAATTTAAATGCTCAAAGTATCAAAAAAATTTTTTTCAAAAAAAATTTTTAACAAATGGATTGTCTTTTAGATGAAAGATTGCTCTTAGTATAAACTTTTTTTTCTCAAGTTTAATTTTGTTTTAACATAGATACAAACCAAAGCAAACGCTTTTGTGGTTAAGTTTTGAAGTTTGTATTTTTCTTAAAGTTCCTTTTCTTCATTTCATTAAAGAGAGAAAAATGTATACATCAAAAGGAAAATAATATTTATTGAGAGAACGAAAAAAAGAATACTTTTTTTGCTGTATGTGAAGTATGGTTTGAAGAGCCAATTATATGTTGTGATAAAGTGTCATATATGTAATAATGATGCAACCAGCATCTTTCTACCTTGATAATTATTTTTTTTAAGAATTTGAAAAGGTAGTCAACTGGTTTTTGGTATCATATCAGAATAGTTGAACAGATAATATAACTTGTAAATACTATTATTTCTTCAGGCTGTAAAATTTGTTTCCAAGAAAACTGTTAGCTAAGTTCTCTGAATGTGTTGTAAAATTCCCAAAGATGGGAGAAAATGAAATTAAGTGGAACTTGATTAGGTAGATTGGAAAGTTGTTTATATTTGATCCCCAGCAAAGTGATCTTAGGACTTGAGTGAATGAGCAGGTTGTATTCATATGCATGTTTTGGGCAATTCATAATCATCTGCCTCAGCTTCTTAATAAATCCTTTTGGAATATTAACAGTGTTTATTTTCCCATTCTGTCTTTCTAGGCGCTGAAGAAACACGAAGCTAAAGCAGAGGAGAATGAAGAAGTGAAGCGTAAGCTGAGGCAGACGGAGAGTGAGGAGAGGAAAGTAAGATTCTGAAGTTATCTGTCAGAGCGCGCTAATGCTTGGGGCCACTGACATTGATTAAATGCCTTGAAGAGTGTCCTGAAGTCATTTGCTCATTAGTCCAGTGAGGCCTCTATGTTTTGATGTGAAATTGCTTGGCTTCAGGGCTCTGCCACTCTCTGCTACTTGCTCTTGGAAATTTGCACAGGTCGTTTGCTAGCTTGTCTTCTGGCCACTTTGCTTTCTCAGAAGGGGATTAAACTTGACCATTCCTTGTTGGAGAACATTTAAAGAGCTGGACTTTGCTGCAGGGTTAGGAAAGATCTGTTGTTTAAAGGCTGAGTATTTTGCATATGTTCATTTTCACTACAGAAGATAAAAATAAACAGCCTGGTTCTGAAAAATCCTCTGTTCTTATTAAATATTAAGAACCTTTGCTATATATTCACATCTGTGAACTTACAGAGCCCAGCCCTTTAGAACTGGAAGGTGATTCAGAGGCCAAACAACTCTCTTCAGTTTGCAAATGAGTAGGTTTCAGGCTGAGCCTAGAGTAATAAATGATAAAGTGAAAATTTGCCCCTGCTGTAATGTTCTTTATCCCACATTGTCTTTTCCGTCTGCCTTTGCCTCCGTTATTTCACCAAATTCCGTACAGTTGCATGATGTGCCTTTGCTGCCTTCTTGGTGGTAAGCAAGATGTATCGGGCCATCACGCTTGCGCTTTGGGAGCTGAGACTGCTGACATTACCCAGGAATCATGACCAGGGTAGGCCCTGGTAGATTTTCAAACTACTTTGACTTCAGGGTGATTTCTTCCCTTTTTATTTAGCCACAGAAACAACAGAACTGGTCAGGTAATATTTTGTGTGGATTCTTTGCCTCCACAGGTACTTTACAGCTGGCTTAGAGTTGACCTTTGACCAGTTTGGGTTTAGGAACCCTGACCCTCTGTGCAGTCTAAAATCCGAGTATAACATGTAGTTGGCCCTCTGTATTTGCAGTTTCTCTCTAGCTACACTTCCACACCTGTGAATTCAACCCACTAGGGATCCTGTAATACTGTGGTGTTTACAATTAAAAAAAAAAATATCCGTGTGTAAATGGACTTCTGCAGTTCAAACCTATGTTTTCAAGGGCCAGCTCTACTTTAAAAAATATGTGATGTTTATTTTCTGAGCTGCATGTATGGTATTTAAAAAACTTATATAATTGGATTAGAAAATTGTTTTGAAGTAATAATAGGTCCATAGATGTTGCAAAATAAAATGTGCCCTGTGCCCTTTACCCAGTTATTCTCAATGGTAACATTTTGTTTAGTTGTGGTCCAGTATCAAAACCAGTGAATTGACACTTGCAATGCATCCAGCTTATGCAGATTTGACCAGTTGTATTGTGTATTGAGTGAGTCTGTGTGTGTGCGTCCTTCCATGCAGTTTTATCTCATGAATCTCATTCTTACTGCCACCACAGTCGAAGCACAGAAGTCTTCCGTCACCACAGTGCGCGCCCACGCTTCTCCTTAGCAGCCACACTGGCCCTATGGACGATTTCTGAAGGACATGTATAGATAGTAGTTTGTTCAAATGAAGTGATACTTTAGGGTAGCTATTAAAATCGAAGCACTTAATAACATCTTAATACAAACTTTTTATTTCACAAAATGACCTTACCTTTACAAGTTGCAAGCATGTCCAGCATATGTAAGCTTTGGATTTTTAGCAAACACTTTTTCCATCTGAAAGGGGAGGGAAAATGATTTTTCCTTTACAAACCTTTTAGGTTCTTTGGCTGGTCTAATAATTAAATTGATATCAAGCAGATTAATAGGAGAAAAAACATTTAATGTTGTATGTATGGGAGCCCCACAAACATATGAGATACAAAGGCAGCCAGGCAATTGAAGCTTATCTTCCATCCTGAGCTAAGGAAAGGAATAGGGGCCTGGGACATCAGAGGGAAGGAAGGCAGTTCACAAGAAGTGAGGAGAGGGGGTTATCATTAACAGATGTTTGCCCTGCCACACAGGTAAGTCTTTCAGATATAGAGGGTATCTTTAGTAATAGCTCTCTTCCTGATACAGACCCGCTTTCTAAATTTTTTTATGCATTTAAGGGGAAGGTGAAAAGCCATTCCTGAGTCTGCTGGGCTTTGCTTACCATTAGCTCACAATAACACTTGAGCCAAAGAGGTGTACTTCAGGGTGGCATATTTTTCTCCCCTTCACATCCTGTTATATTTTTCAACTTGAAATAAGCTAGGCACAGTGACTTTGTAGCATATTTAGTCACCTAACTGGTACATTTTCTGTGGGTATTATCTAATGGCAGTATTATTAGGGAAATTTAAAATGTCTTATTCCAAACTGAGATACTTCAAAATTTTCAGAATGTTAGGAATATTGGAGATATTAGGAGTATAAGACTATTAAGAATATAAAGTAGTCACCAACTAGATGAAATACACCTTGAGTCATTACGTCCCTGAAAGTTTTATTCTAATTTAGTTCCTATGATACTGCATGTAGCTAATTTAAAGAAAAATTGCTTTAGAATTTTGCATTAAAATGATTTAAAACTGAAGGGAGCTCAGAGATTGTCTTATATAAAACCCTTATTTTAGAGATAACAGAAAGGAGGCCTTTAAGGAAAAAAGTTTTAAACAGGGTCATAATTGAGATGAAACTGACTAGAGCACAGACCTCCTGTAGTCTGGTCTGGTTCAGTTTTTGTTATTTAATTACCATTATTTTAATGGGAGCATTGATATGTGTTTATCACAAGATGTTTATCTTTTTATATTAGCTGTAAAAGTCTGAAAACCTTTTCACTTTTCTCCTCTTAAACTGTGCCTGTAATAGTTTAGTTATCTTCTGCCCCATTGGACATTTTTCCTTATCCTTTGATGAAACTCTAGCTTCAACAGGAATTGGAGCTATCTCGAAGGTTACTGAATCAGTCAGAAGGCAGCAGAGAAACACTTTTGCATCAGGTAAGTATGCAAGCTATGATAATCTGCTTTTAAATTAAATCAGGATTGAGCCTCTTTCCCTATTAGATGTCTTTGTAAAAGGGCAAAAAAATTCAGGTTTAGGAAATTTTATTCCTAACAAATGTATATTAGCACACATAAGCAAAAGATGAAATCCTTTCAGGAAGATTCAGAGAAAGCCAGCACAAAGCACCAGCCCAAGTTCCTCCTGTGACAGTGTATCTTACTGATTGCCGCTCCAATTTAGAAATTATCTCTCTTAGCATAACCAGTGTAAAAGTGAGACTGGATGGGAAAGATACAATTTTCCCAGGAACTTAATTTTATTCTAGAAGGCATTGGAGAGTGAAGGAGGAAGTAAAACACATAAAACAGACCTTTGCATGTTCAAGTTCCCTTGAATGTATCATTGTCTTATTTTCTCATTTTTCAAGATGCTATCTGATTCCTTTTAACCAGAGATAAGGCTTAATTTTAAAGCATAACATTTTGTAGCCGGTTAACCCATAATATGTGTTTGGTGCCTCTGATATTTAAAGTTCAGTAGCTTGCAATAGCCATCTTACATACATTGGGAAAGGGCATTGGATTTCTAACTGTCTTTCTGCTTGTGTTTAATGTAAATTGCAGTTGTACTTGCCTCTCTTTTGAGGTATGGGTTACATAACTCAGTACATAACATGCTAGGTAGGCAAAGATGTCAGACATTATAGGTGTTCAGGAGTACTTTATTTGATGATTAATCCTGAAAATGCAACATAGCACCTGTTTTACAAAATCCTTAAAAACATGTAATGGTTTTGTTCTACAGCAGTGGTATGATGGAATTAATGTTGGCAGAGTTTAGACTTTCTTTTTTGGAAGGTTATATCTATATTCAATTCCTTCTGATTCTTTTGGTTTTGGAACTCTGACTTATAACTTTTAATCTTTTGAAATAAGAGATTTCTGTGTTTAGGTTGCCATTGTGAGTTTAGCTGAGATGTTCTGCCACTGCTAACTTGTTTAATGGTCGTTGGGGACTTGCCTGCTAGACTTCAGATACATGAAGATGAATAAGAGGGTACCTGACCTCAGGGAGTTTATACTTTTTTCAACAGCCTTTAGTACTTATTTATTTTGAGCAGTACTTTGATATCAAAATGTTTTAAATTGTGATCATTTCACTTGACTTTACTGACCAATAGACTACATTCACATGAAAGAAAATAAGTAAAAAATGTAAAAACATACAGTACTTAACAGGAGGTGATTTGGGTCAATAGTAGTAGAGTGGATTGAGGTGAAAATAGGGACTTTGTAAAATGTGGTCAAATTATTTGTCATAGACACAAAGAAGGGGAAAATACCTTCATTGTGAAAGGAATAGGAATAAAGAAGTGAAGCAAGAGACTATTCCACTGTGCTTGTCATGAGATTAACTTGGTTTCAACTTGTGCTTACAGTAATCTGCTGGAAGTGATTTTTTCCCCCTAGGGAAATAATTTGTAATAATTTATAAGTTCAATTATTGTTTTCCTGCTTTTAAAACTAATGAAAGTTTCATCTTTGATTATATGTATTTAGGTAGAAGAACTCCGTACACAGCTTATGAAAGCAGAAGGCGATCCAAAGAGTTTACATCATCAAGTATCTCAGATTTCCAGGCAACAGTCAAGCCTTCAGGATGAACAGGGAGATGACTGGAGGTTTAGGAGAGGTATAATTCTGATTTGTAAATGATTGGGGCCTTTTAAAAAAACTTTTATTGGAGTATAGTTGCTTTACAATACTGTGTTAATTTCTGCTTTTTTGATTTATTTTATTTTATTTTATTTTTTTTTTAATTTTATTTTTTAATTTTTTTTAATCACAACCATAGTGTATCTTTTTTTTTTTTTTTTTTACATGTATTCCCCATCCCGGTCCCCCCTCCCACCTCCCTCTCCACCCAATCCCTCTGGGTCTTCCCAGTGCACCAGGCCCGAGCACTTGTCTCGTGCACCCAACCTGGGCTGGTGAACTGTTTCACCCTAGATAATATACGTGTTTCAATGCTGTTCTCTTGAAACATCCCACCCTCGCCTTCTCCCAGAGTCCACAAGTCTGTTCTATACATAGGAGTCTCTTTTTCTGTTTTGCACATAGGGTTATCGTTACCATCTTTCTAAATTCCATATATATGTGTTAGTATACTGTAATGGTCTTTATCTTTCAGGCTTACTTCGCTCTGTATAATGGGCTCCAGTTTCATCCATCTCATTAGAACTGATTCAAATGCATTCTTTTTAATGGCTGAGTAATATTCCATGGTGTATATGTACCACAGCTTCCTCATCCATTCATCTGCTGATGGGCATCTAGGTTGCTTCCATGTCCTGGCTATTATAAACAGTGCTGCGATGAACATTGGGGTACACGTGTCTCTTTCAGATCTGGTTTCCTCGGTGTGTATGCCCAGAAGTGGGATTGCTGGGTCATATGGCAGTTCTATTTCCAGCTTTTTAAGAAATCTCCACACTGTTTTCCATAGTGGCTGTACTAATTTGCATTCCCACCAACAGTGTAAGAGGGTTCCCTTTTCTCCACACCCTCTCCAGCATTTATTGCTTGTAGACTTTTGGATAGCAGCCATCCTGACTGGTGTGTAATGGTACCTCATTGTGGTTTTGATTTGCATTTCTCTGATAATGAGTGATGTTGAGCATCTTTTCATGTGTTTGTTAGCCATCTGTATGTCTTCCTTGGAGAAATGTCTGTTCAGTTCTTTGGCCCATTTTTTGATTGGGTCATTTATTTTTCTGGAGTTGAGCTGGAGGAGTTGCTTGTATATTTTTGAGATTAATCCTTTGTCTTTCTTAAATAATTTTCATTTTCAGAATTGCTTTTCTTATGTTCTTTTCACCCTATTTCTTGATCTATTACAAAGTTTTCCAAATTAATCCTAGTTTATGCAATTTTTAAAAACAGACTTAATTTTATAGCAGTATTGAGCAGATGGAACAGAGATTTCCCATATATGCCTGCTCTTTCATATCACAGCTTTCCCAGCTATCAACATCCCTCACCCCAGTGGTGCATTTGTTATAACTAATGAATCAGATATTGACACATCATTGTTGTGCAAAGTCCATAGTTTACCTTAGGGTCCACTTTTGGTATTGTGTGTTCCGTAGGATTAGACAAGCATGTAATGACATGTATCCATCATTGTAATATCATAGTGTAGTTTCCCTGCCCTTAAAATTCTCTGTATTTCACTCTCCATCCCTGTCTCCCCCTAACCTCTGACAAACACTAATCTTTTTATCGTTTCCTTAGTTTTGCCTTTTCTAGAATCTAATATATCAATAGTTGGAATCATACAGTATGTAACCTTTTCCGATTGGCTTCTTTACTTAGTAATATCTCTTTCAGTTTCCTCCATGTCTTTTCATGGCTTGGAAGTTCTTCAGAAGAAAAAAATCAAACTTTTTTTTTTTTTTTAAAGCACTGCATAATATTTCATTGTTTGGATGTACCACAGTTTATTTATCCATTCATGTACAGAAGCCTGTCTTGGTTTCTTCCACGTTTGGCCATCATGAATAAAACTGCTGTAAACTAAACATCTGTGTGCAGATTTTTGTGTAGACTTAAGATTTCATCTCTTTTGGATAAATATCAGAGAGTGTGATTGCTCAGTCATATGACAAGAGTGGTTAGGTTTGTAAGAATCTTCAAACTCTCTTCCAAAATAGCTATATCATTTGCCTTCTACCAGCAGTGATGAGATTTCCTGTTGTTCTGCCTCCTTCTCAACACTTAGAATTGTCAGCATTCTGTATTTTAGCCATCCAGATAGGTTTGTAGTGGCATCTTGTTTTAATTTGCATTTTCCTGATAACATGGTATAGAGCATTTATTCATATACTTATTTAATATATATATATATATATATATATATACACACACACACACACACACATATATGTATATCTTTTCTGCTGATATATTCATTAAAGTCTTTGGCCCATTTCTTAGTTTGTTTTCCTGTTACTGTTAAGAGTCATTTTTATATTTTGGCTAGCAGTCCTTTATCAGTATGTCTTTGCAAATAATATCTCACAGTATAAGGCTTGGCTTTTCATTTTCTTAAGATTATCTCTCACAGAGCTGAAACTTTTAATTTTAATGAAGTCCAGCCTATTCATTCTTTCTTTCATGGATTGTGAGTTTGGTGTAATATCTAAAAGTCATTGTCAACCTGCAAATCATTCTCTTACCTTCTAAGAGTTTTATAATTTTGCATTTTACATTTAAATCTGTGATCCATTTTGAATTAATTTTTGTGGAAGATATAAGTTCTGTGTCTAGATTCATTTTTTTTTTTTTTGCATGTGAATCTTCAGTTCTAGTGTCCTTTGTTTAAAAAGACTATCTTTTCCCCATTGTATTGCTCTTGTTCTTTGTCGAAGATCAGTAGACTATTTTTATGTGGGTCTACTTCTCGCTCTCTGTTCTGTCCCAGGTGTCTACCTGTCTTTTTTTTTTTTTGGCCAGTACCACACTGTTTTGTTGGATAGTGTCAATCCTCCAACTCTTTCCTTCTTTTTCAGTATTGCTGTTGCTATTTGGGATTCTTTGCCACTCTTTGTAACTTTAGAATCAGGTTGTCAATATACACAAAATAACTTGCTGGGATTTTGATTAGCTTGCATTGAATCTATTGCTGGAGTTGAGAACTACTGACATTTTGACAATATTGAGTCTTCCTGTCCATGAACATGGATTATCTCTCCATTTATTTTGTTCATCCTTGATTTTTTTCATCAGAATTTGGTAGTTTTCATCATATAGATTTTGTTAGATTTATAGTTAAGTATTTGATTTTTGGGCTTCTCAGGCTCAATGGTAAAGAATCTGCCTGCTCATGCAGGAGACTCTGGAGACATGGGTTTGATTCCTGGCTTGGGTAGATGCCCTGGAGTAGGAAATGACAACTCACTACAGTACTCTTACCTGGAAAATTCCATGGACAGAGGAACCTGGAGGGCTGTAGTTCATGAGGTAGCAAAGAGGTGGACCTCAGTGAGTAACTGGCATGCATGCATTTAATTTGGGGGGATGTTAATGTAAATAGCATTGTGTGTTTAATTTCAAATTTCACTTGCTTGTTAATATTAGCATCCAGTTTTAATGTCTTCTCTGCTTGATTTTTAAACCCATTTCAGTTGTCAGACCTGCTTATCTCATGAGTCTTCCTTTTAGAAAGAGCCAACAAGCCAGTTGTGGAATTTTTTTTTTAATTCATGCACACACATGTATGCTACACATACACATCACACACATACATGAGTGTATTTATGTGTGTGTATTTGTACTTAAATTGGAAATCCCTATGCTTTTCACTTTTTCTTAATCTGATTTTCAATATAAATTAATATCCTATCTTTGTTTTGTTACCTGGAGATTGGGGAAAAAAATTAATCAGATTGTAAAAGTGGTCATGAACCATATGATTGGCTTTTTTAATGTTGATTAGAAAGGTATTGTGTTTGAAAATCTTTAGAATGTTTTTTCAGTGGAGGTGTTGATTTTGGTTGTAGAATTTAATTACTCTGGATGTATTTCTTTTTGAAAGTTTTGTGTTTAACAGAAATGGTGTTACTGAAATTTTATGTTTTCTAACAGATTACTAAAGATTGTTCTGCTCTAAATCATTTAAATATTAAGGCATTTTACTCAAATGCCTAAATTACCATAGAAACTGTTATAAGCGTTTGATGTTATAAATTCCCCAGATACACTTAACTCAATATGTTGCCTAAGTTAGAATTCCCACATTACCAGAAAATCTTCTGCATCTACCAGAAAATGGCAGATTTTGACATACCTGTCCTGACATATTTGCATGCCAGAAGGAAATGGCAACCCACTCTAATGTTCTTGGTGGAGAATCCCATGGACAGAGAAGCCTGGTGGGCTACAGTCCATGGGGTCGCAAAGAGTCGGACATGACTGAGCAACTTCACTTACTAAGTTCAGTTGAGTTTCATGTGGTATTGTAATTTAAACATATTTTGACATTAGAAGCTTGGAAGAAAAGCTATGACAAACTTAGTGTATTAAAAAGCAGAGACATCACTTTGTCGACAAAGGTCTGTATAGTCAAAGGTATGGTTTTTCCAGTGGTCATGTACAGATGTGAGAATTGGACTATAAAGTAGTCTGAGCGCTGAAGAATTGATGCTTTTGAATTGTGGTGCTTGAGAGTCTCTTGGACAGCAAGCAGATCAAACCAGTCAATCCTAAAGGAACTCAACCCTGAATATTCACTGGAAGGACTGATGCTATAGTTCTAATACTTTGGCCACCTGATGAGAAGAGCTGACTCATTGGAAAAGACCCTGATGCTGGAAAAGACTGAAGGCAGGAGGAGAAGGGGACCACAGAGGATGAGATGATTGGATGGCATCACCAACTCAATTAACATGAGTTTGAGCAAACTCTGGGAGACAGTGAAGGACAGGGAAGCCTGGTGTGCTGTAGTCCATGGGGTCACAGAGTCAGACACAACTTAGCCATTGAAAAACTTTAAAATTTATTTTTAAAGGAAAATATAGGGTATTAAGATTATTCACCAAATTGTCATGAAGTTGTACATAGGACTTCTCATTTTGTTTGGCAAAAGAGTCTGTGGTACATTTGTTACGTGTTTTGTTGTCTTATAAAATCTAGTTATTTTTGGTGTGTTTGAGGACTCAAAGAATCTCACTTTTTTAAAGTACTTATCAGGCTTAATAAAAAAATCTTAAAGTTCTCTTATTGTGGCAATGGACTTCTTCACCTTCTTTTAATAATTCTAGAGTTTTCATCTTTATAGAATACTTAAAATACTTTATAGAATATTTAAAAAAAATTCTACATAAGAAATTGCACTTGTCATCCTCTGCCTGCTCTTTATTCCTCTACCCACTGCAATATGACTTCCACTTCTGCTTCTAAAATTGACTTTGTTTAGTTTACTAGTGGTATCCTATGTCAAATTCAAAGGAATTTTTAATTACTTGCCTTAGTTGTTTCCCATTTGTTTCCTCTCCCTTAAAACTTTTCCACTGACTTGATTGTTCTTACTGTTTCCTGGTTCTTCTGTCTTAGTTGTTTTCAGTCTTTCCATCTGAATCTTTTCCGTTTGTTTCCAGTTTGCGTTTTAAATGTTGCTGTGTTGTAGAATCCTATTAATGGATTTTCTCACTTGGTGCTTCTCCCCTGGGGTTGTTATTTAATCTTAGGCTCTAGCTATCACCTACAAAGGATGGCCCCTAAAGGGAGCTCTTCTCACTCTCCTGATCTTCAGCCCTCCAAATGTGTCTCTATGTGCTGTTCTAGCATGCTCATGCTCAGGAACAGGTTTACAACTGAATTCTTACTTTCCCTCAAACCTGTTTTTATTTCCTGTCTTAACTGGTCAAATGTTTCTCTATCCAGATAAGCCTAAAATACAAAGAATGTCCTAACTTACTTCTCCCCTCTATCTAATTAGTATCCTGTATCCTGTCTGTCTGAAGATTCTGCTATCTCTTGAAGTGGCTTCTTTCCTATTCCCACTAACCCAGTTTAGGCATGCTTTATCTCATCTCTGTTACCCTCTTAACCTGTCTGATGCTAATTTGTCTGTACTCTGCTTTCAGCCCTGCTACTAAAGGAACCCTTCTAAGCCACACACCTGTCATGTTATTCTCTTGATTAAAACCTCTTATAATTTATTGAGTTCTTAGGGGACATCATGCTACACATGTTACACTGTGTCTTTTAGTTCTTACAGATGTTCTAAGAGAAGGATACTCTTCTTATTTCCATTTTAATGATTTTTTTTTTAAAAGCTGAAAAACAAAGAAATTGAATTCCTTGCTTAAAGTCACATTTGTGGGAAGTAGCAAACCAAATCTTTTTTCTATCCAGGCTTGAACTCTTTAACTGCTATCGTCTACTGACACATCAACGTTTGTAGCAAGAATTGTTCAAAATGGAGCATATGAGATAATCCTCTGGGAGGAGAGTGTCTCTAACCCTATTTGTGTTGTATACTTTATGTTTTAAGTATTTCAATTTTTATAAATTTTTCATTAAATATGCATATATGTGTTATACCTTAATATTTATATATCTATACTTTAATACTTTATGTAGGGACTTCCCTATAACTCAGATGGTAAAGAATCTTTCTTCTATACAGGAGATCCAGGTTCAATCCCTGGGTTTGGAAGCTCCTATGGAGAAGGGAATGGCAACCCACTCCAGTATTCTTGTCTGGAGAGTCCCATAGACAGAGGAGCCTGGTGGGATACAATCCATGGGGTCACAAAGAGTCAGATACGACTGAGCGACTAACACTGCACTACTACTGCTATTTGATGTGTAAAACATATCAAAATATCATGTCTCCACATCAAATACATAGATGTGTTTTATAGAGTACATATGTGTATGTGTTTATATACATGTGCATATACTCTTCATAAGTTGTATAATATATATTTGTACTAACATTAATTTGCATATATGTGTGTATACACTCATATATGTCATGAAACATGACTAGGTCTATATATAGGTAGGTAGGTACTATAGAGAGAGAGGTGCACACACATGCATATCTATATGGGCCTTCCAGGTGGCTTAATGGTAAAGAACCTGCCTGCCAATGCAGGAGACGTAAAAGATGTGGGTTCCATCACTGGTTGGAGATTCCCAGGAGGAGGGCATGGCAACCCACTCCATTACTCTTGCCTGGAAAATCCCATGGACAGAGGAGCCTGGCAGGTGATAGTCCATGAGTTCACAAAGAGTCAGACATGACTAAAGTGACTTGGCACACAGTGTATATTAATAAATTTATAAAATAAAAGTTATTTTTAAGATGAATGGATATGTGTATTTTTCAAATGAATAAATACATTTATACATAAAATATGCATATTTTCAGGTCGATGATCTAGCAGGAGTGGGCAAAGGATGGCACATGAGCCAAATCCAGACTGCTTCCTGTTTTTGAATAAAGAAACTTTATTGGAATACAGCTACTCCCATTCATTTATGCATTGTCCAGGTCACTTTTTTAATATAATATCAAAGATGAGTAGTTGTGACAGAGACCATATAGCTGCAGTATTTACTGTGTGACCTTTTATAGAAAATGTTTGCTAACTCTTAGTCTGTAGGCTGATTTCCAAGCTCCCTGGCAGTGCATGACTGCTGACGCTGCTGGCTCACCTTCCTCACAAGTATTAGCTATGTAGAACGTGATGTGTGCAGTTACCTGAATATGAAATCCAATATTGTTCCTAGGTGCTTTATGCTGTTTCCTTTCCCTGAAATATCAACCCAACTTCATCTGCTTTGCTTGGTGAAATTTTTTATCTATTTTTCAGAACTAACTTTTAAATCAATTCTTACAACCTCAGTTTCTTTTTAAGATAGAGTTAATCATTCTGTCCTTTGGACTGATTTTGTATGATAACCATTTACTATACAGAAATTATACAGATACAGGGAAATATCTGAATAGTATCTGAAGGTCCTCTTATTACTGTTAAAATACCTATGCATCTTTTATCCACACTGTACAGTTTTGACAGTTTAATATTTCTGAAGTTGGGATGTGTCTTATGAATGATCTGTAAATTGTATTTGCTAGTGTTTCCTTCCTTCCTTCCTTTTCTGTAAGTGAAAGTACTAGAAAAGAGTAGTTTTAAACTGATAATATATGTTCCAGTTTTTGACATCTTAACTTCATAGAAGTACTTCATTTATATCTTTTTCGTATTCTTAGAATGCAAGCTCACTGAGAAAAGGGTTTTCGTGTTATTTATTTTTGAAAAAGATGTTGTTACAGTGCCCTTTTCATCATATACCAAATATTTCATATTGAACTAAAAGTACATACTATGTCAGTTTATATTGATCAGTTGTGGGTAGTTGTCTCTAGAACTAGTAAGTTAAAGGTCAGAACACAATCAAGGTTTAGCAGCCTCCTTTGCTTATGTTACAAGAAAAGCATTTTGTTGTGTGAACTTCAGTAACTTCAGTAAGCTGTAGAAGCTTAGTTGAAAATTCTTTCAGTACTTTTGTTTTAGAGTTTTGGGGTAATATAGGGAGATAAGGCAAATTAAAAATGCATTGAATTTTCCTGAAATAAATTATACTGGAAATCAGATAGCAGTCCAAGTACAGTATCAGAATGGGATAACACTGGATGACATAGCTATGTATTTTAGAAAATTGTGTAAGACTTGAAATAATAGAATGGCGAGTTGGTTACAGTGACATTTGATAAGTGGATTGTATGGAGTAGAGTTAATATTAATAAGCCTACCATTTGAGAGTACATTATCCTGTGAATAACGAACAACCATCACGCTTTACATTTTCTCTTTTAAGGGGTTGAGCGAGAGGATCTGGAGAAGCAGATGTCAGATTTGAGAGTGCAGCTGAACTTCAGTGCAATGGCTTCTGAGTTAGAGGAAGTGAAGCGGTGCTTGGAGCGAAAAGACAAGGAGAAAGTGCATTTGGCAGCCCAAGTAGAGGTGACTTTGCTTTGTTTAAGCCGTGTTCAAAGGACTTTAGTTTCATTTCATAGCATTGCTTAGTGAAATCTTAATATGAAGATTGTGATGTTTTACAAACTTGAGGTTGGGTATAGATAATGTCAAGTTATCTAGATGTTTACTTTAATTACATAGAGAAATTTCTATGGATTCATTTCTCTTCATTTGGACCACAAAGCCAGGATACCTATGAAACCTGAAAATATTCTTCCACTAGCAGTTGAGCCCTTCCCTCAGGCAGAAGGGATCTTTCTTCTCTGAAGGAACCACAGTTATTTGTGGTGGGTGTGGGGGAGGGTGGGCCGGGGTGAAACTGGCAAAAGGCATAGCGATAAGGTATTACTGATATTTTTTCTTTGGAAATAGAAAAGTTTTCAAATCTCTAGCTGTTTTGCATGAGATAGAGGTGCAATGCCTCCATCAATTTAGAGTTGTGTAGTAGTCATGAACGATGAGTGAAGTGTAAGTAGGCAGCTACCGTTCTTACTTGCCTTTTATTTAGCACAGATGGTGCTAGATAAAAGTAATTATAAAAAACTATTAAAAAATCAAAGCAAAGAACTTGATAAAAGAAAATGGCTTAATTCCCATTTAATTATGTAAATTAGATCTGTGCAAACATGGAGAACACATTTGGAACTAGATATGTATCAGTCTTTCTCTGTATCTGTTGTTGTTAGTGAAGTTGTGTTCTAATTGTAGTAAGTAGTCACATTTGAAGAATCTCCTAAGTTATAACGAAAGGTAGAAAATTGGTGTGAAAAGTATCTAACTTTATAAAATCCAAAGGAAATATTTAATGTTACTGCAGTCTTAAATTTCTCTTTCATCTTGTCGGTGCATTGGTACAAAATATATTTTAAATTTGTTTCAGGTTCATGTTTAAAGATAATGAAACAGTGGCATTTTCTTTACAAAGCCTCTGCATGTTTACTTCTTTATTAATTTTTTAATGGGGATAGAGTTGACTTAGAATACTGTATTAGTTTCAGCTGTACAGCATAGTGGTCTTTATGTTTTTATAGATGATGTACCATGCCATGTTAATTATAGTATTATTGACTATTTTCTCTGTGCTGTGTATTATATCTCTATGAGGTTTTAATTCAACTTAATTTTTTTGGCTTAAAATTTTATATTTTATTGAGGTAACACTGGTTCATAATACTGTATAAGTTTCATGTGTACAATGTTATATTTCTACTCCTATCCACTACATTGTGTTCACCACCAAAAATTTAGTTTCCTTCTGTCAGCATACATTTGATTCCCTTTACCCATTTTTGCCTCCAATCCCGACTCTGTCCCTTCCCTTGTGATAACCATTAGTCTGTTCTCTGTATCTATGGATTTGTTTTTATGACTTGTCTTTTAACATTTCACTTGCTTTATAAGTGGTTCATTCATTGCCTTTACTATATATTTTCCTTTCCTAGGAAAGTAAATTTTTACTTTCCTAGTAAAGTACATTTTTCCTTTCATTCATTTCTCCTATCTTTATAGGGCCTTTCCTTTTCCGCTAAAAGAAGTTCCTTTAACATTTCTTGGAAGGCTGGTTTACTGTTGTTAAACTCTTTTTAGTTTTTGCTTGTCTGGGAAACTTTCTCTCCTTCAGTTCTGAATAACTTTGCCTATGGTGTTAGAAAGTGTTCTAGTTTCATTCTTTTATAAGTGGTTGACCAGTTTTCCCAGCACCACTTGTTAAAGAGGTTGTCTTTTTTCCATTGTGTATTCTTGCCTCCTTTGTTGAAGATAAGTTGTCCATAGGTGTGTGGATTCATCTCTGGGCTTTCTATTCTGTTCCATTGATCTATATTTCTGTCTTTGTGCCAGTACCATACTGTCTTGATGACTGTGGCTTTGTAGTAGAGCCTGAAGTCAGGCAGGTTGATTCCTCCAGTTCCATTCTTCTTTCTCAAGATGCTTTGGCTATTCGAGGTTTTTTGTATTTCCATACAAATTGAGAAATTATTTGTTCTAGTTCTTTGAAGAATACCGTTGGTAGCTTGATAGGGATTGCATTGAATCTATAGATTGCTTTGGATAGTATACTCATTTTCACAATATTGATTCTTCCAATCCATGAGCACGGTATATTTCTCCATCTATTTGTGTCCTCTTTGATTTCTTTCATCAGTGTTTTATAGTTTTCTATGTATAGGTCTCTTGTTTCTTTAGGTAGATATACTCCTAAGTATTTTATTCTTTTTGTTGCAATGGTGAATGGTATTGTTTCCTTAATTTCTCTTTCTGTTTTCTCATTGTTAGTGTATAGGAATGCAAGGGATTTCTGTGTGTTAATTTTATATCCTGCAACTTTACTATATTCATTGATTAGCTCTAGTAATTTTCTGGTAGAGTCTTTAGGGTTTTCTATGTAGAGGATCATGTCATCTGCAAACAGCAAGAGTTTCACTTCTTCTTTTCCTATCTGGATTCCTTTTATTTCTTTTTCTGCTCTGATTGCTGTGGCCAACACTTCCAAAACTATGTTGAATAGTAGTGGTGAGAGTGGGCACCCTTGTCTTGTTCTTGATTTTAGAGGAAATGTTTTCAATTTTTCACCATTGAAGATAATGTTTGCTGTGGGTTTGTCATATATAGCTTTTATTATGTTGAGGTATGTTCCTTCTATTCCTGCTTTGTGGAGAGTTTTTATCATAAATGGATGTTGAATTTTGTCAAAGGCTTTTTCTGCATCTATCGAGATAATCATATGGTTTTTATCTTTCAATTTGTTAATGTGGTGTATTGCATTGATTGATTTGCAGATATTAAAGAATCCTTGCATCCCTGGGATAAAGCCCACTTGGTCATGATGTATGATCTTTTTAATATGTTGTTGGATTCTGTTTGCTAGAATTTTGTTAAGGATTTTATAAACTCAAAATGGATTAAAGATCTAAATGTAAGACCAGAAACTATAAAACTCCTAGAGGAGAACATAGGCAAAACACTCTCTGACATAAATCACAGCCAGATCCTCTATGACCCACCTCCCAGAATATTGGAAATAAAAGCAAAAATAAACAAATGGGACCTAATTAAACTTAAAAGCTTTTGCACAACAAAGGAAACTATAAGCAAGGTGAAAAGACAACCTTCAGAATGGGGGAAAATAATAGCAAATGAAGCAACAGACAAAGGATTAATCTCAAAAATATACAAGCAACTTCTGCAGCTCAATTCCAGAAAAATAAATGACCCAATCAAAAAGTGGGCCAAATAACTAAGCAGACATTTTTCCAAAGAAGAAATACAGATGGCTAACAAACACATGAAAAGATGCTCAACATCACTCATTATCAGAGAAATGCAAATCAAAACCACAATGAGGTACCATTACACGCCAGTCAGGATGGCTGCTATCCAAAAGTCTACAAGCAATAAATGCTGGAGAGGGTGTGGAGAAAAGGGAACCCTCTTACACTGTTGGTGGGAATGCGATCTAGTACAGCCACTATGGAGAACAGTGTGGAGATTCCTTAAAAAGCTGGAAATAGAACTGCCATATGACCCAGCAATCCCACTCCTGGGCATACACACCGAGGAAATCAGATCTGAAAGACACAGGTGTACCCCAATGTTCATCGCAGCTCTGTTTATAATAGCCAGGACATGGAAGCAACCTAGATGCCCATCAGCAGACGAATGGATAAGGAAGCTGTGGTACATATATACAATGGAATATTACTCAGCCATTAAAAAGAATACATTTGAATCAGTTCTAATGAGATGGATGAAACTGGAGCCCATTATACAGACTGAAGTAAGTCAGAAAGATAAACACCAATACAGTATAGTAACGCATATATATGGAATTTAGAAAGATGGTAATGTAACCCTATATGCAAAACAGAAACAGAGACACAGATGTATAGAAGAGACTTTTGGACTTTATGGGAGAAGGTGAGGGTGGGATGATCTGAGAGAACAGCATTGAAACATGTATATTATCAAGTGTGAAACAGATCGCCAGTCCAGGTTGGATGCATGAGACAAGTGCTCAGGGCTGGGCACTAGGATGACCCAGAGGGATGGGATGGGGAGGGAGGTGGGAGGGGGGTTCAGGATGGGGAACACATGTAAATCCATGGCTGATTCATGTCAATGTATGGCAAAAACCACTACAATATTGTAAAGTAATTAGCCTCCAACTAATAAAAATAAATGGAAAAAAAAAAAGAATAACTTTTCCATGTGAGTATCATTGGTTGTAGATATTTTTTCCTTTCATCACTTTAAATAAAGTATCCTATGCTGTTCCCTTTAGACCTGCAGTTTCTGCTGAGAAATAGGTGATAGCCTGTGGGGCTTCCCTGGGATGTGACTTCAGTTTTTCCTTTTTCTTTTTGACTGCCTTTAAAATTCTCTCTTTAACTTTTGCTATTTTTTTTTACACGTCTTGAAGCAGTAGTTTATTTTTTTTCTATTCAGCTTATATTTATTATTTTTTTCATTTATTTATATTAGTTGGAGGCTAATTACTTTACAATATTGTAGCGGTTTTTGCCATACATTGATATGAAGGCAAGGGTGGGATGACCTGAGAGAATAGCATTAAAATATGTATATTATCAATTGTGAAACAGATCGCCAATCCAGGTTTGATGCAGGAGACAAGTGCTCAGGGCTGGTGCACTAGGATGACTTTTGCTGTTTTAATTATGCTAGGTCTTGAAGTAGATCTCTTTCATTTTGTTTGGGATTTTCTTTGTTTCTGGATCTGGATATGTGTTTCTTACCACAGTTTAAATTTTCAACCATTGTTTCACCAAATTCATTTTTGCCTCTTTCTTTCTCCTCTCCTTCTGGAACCTCTAAAATTTGAATTTTATTATGCTTGATGTTATCTTAGAGGCCTCTTAAACTTAAGCCTCATTTAAAAATTATTTTTCTTCTTGCTGTTCTGATTGAGTGATTTCAACCATTCTGTCTTCTAAGTTGCTTATGTGTTTTTTTGTGTCACCTAATCTGCA